TGAATATGACTGAAAAATTTAATTTTTTCTGAAAAGGTGGTGTCTATTTACTTGTGACCACGCTGTGTATATGTATTTAACCAATAACCGGAAGTAATCTTGACAGTCACCCTGAGACACGTGGGATGAGAAGTGAGGACCTTTAGAGCTTTGTCCGAATTCCTTTTTTTACTTTTATATTTCTAAAATAACCAAATTATTTAGTTTTTCGAGACATGTAAAAAATTTTTCAGTTTTTCCCAGACAAGACGTTCAAGCTGTAAATTTGGAAAAATGTACTCAACTCTTGCATCCCCGTATGGAAATTAAAACACCAATTTCGTCCTCAATTCTGAAAATAATATAATTAAATTTAAAGTACTAGTAATGTAATTTTTGGGTAAGTATAATAATGTAGAAAATTGATTTAAGATAAAATGAGTTATTGTTATTTTTTAAGTTAAATGTGATTGAGTAACATGCTGAAAAATTAATGTTATTAAACTGGATCAGCTAAGGCTAAAAGCTTTAGGTTAATTATAATTTACATTATACTGTATTTATAATTTAATTTATATTGAATTGTAATGTATTTAATACATGTTCAGTATGTTTATATTGAATTTAAATTTAACATGTAACTAGTTTTTATGCTTAAAAGAATTAAAAATACATTTTGTCTATAATATTTCAAACATGTAAAAATTGAGGAGAAATGATTATGAAAAGAAAACAGTTTCACCTGTTTTAAGAAAAATGGCAGACGATAAACTACATTTATTAAAAAAACAGAAATAATGTGAGACAATCATTACCATTTATCAAACAACGAATTTAAACTACAACACTGAATACTCCAGCGAATAATGTTTCAACTTAAACAGATTTAAAATGATGTAAATAAAACAGACGTGTATCCACAGGATACTTAATTTTCACATACTGCTCGTGATTAGAAATAACTGAACAAAGACAGTAATTACAGACTCTAAGAACTTTGGCATTGAGGGATAATTTCCAGTCGCAAACACTGCTGATTTTATGAATCTTGATCAGGGTTCGCGTAACGGTCTTGGTCAGCATTGGCTACTGAAGAGGGCACGGGATAATACAAGTAGGCTTGTTCGCAAGGGATTCCTTGGTGTGGTAGTTCACAAGTGAGAGTTGCTTGGCTGAAGATTCTTTCTTCTCTGCAGTAAAAGCTATACTGAACGGCCTGTTCTTGCCCATACTGTGTGACGTAGGGGTTACAAATGTGGTATACTTTGCAAGCTGCCTCCATGTCTGCATAGTAACCGTAGGTCTTGTTCACACAAGAAAACTGTGTACCCACCGGACTTAATACCAGGTTGGTGTTGTCAGAAAGGGGCACTGTAAGTACCATCATTTCGCTAGCCACAACCTTAGCTGTAGCGAAAAACATCATTACCACAACGCTTTGGAGAACCATTTTCCACGAGGTGTTCTAAACACAAAATATAAATTGTAATGCAATCATACTTATAGAAATTTTATAGTAGATAACTAATCATTTTATTATGGTAAATAGTTGGGTATAATAACGAAAATATAATCACAATTTTATTGGAAACTCTTGAAATTGACAGCAATTGGATAACTAACATCTATGCACCTATCCATATGTGTGTGTGGTTTTTCGAACTACACAAAAAACTATTTTACATTTTTACAATTAAGTACTATTATAGAATGTTTGTAAAAGATTTTTATGTTTTATTCATCATATTAAGTGTTCAATGTTATTTTCGTGTATGAAGATAACTTAATACATTCTACCAGTAACTGATAAACGTGAGTTCTTCACACCATCTATAACACAGTGGCTAAAAAACTTATAAATCTTACAAGACGTATGCAACAGCGACTAAAAAACGGATAACAGTTTACAAGAATGTGGCACAGTTACAGTTTGCTTCTGAGTCATCAAAGAATTTCAACTTTGAATGAAACGGCTAAACTAATCCAACACTTTACAAAAATTACGTGCTTTACTGCCTTATCAGTTGGGAATACTTACAATAACAAAAAATATTCGTAATGTTAATATTGACAAACGAATACACTGTTTAATGTTTGCTTTCTTCAGTTATCGTTTGAAAGTAAATCAACTTGAGTCATGATTAAATCATCTCAAATCCCAGAGTTCAACTAATTTTGAAAATAACAATTGCTCTACAGAACATTATTGTTCTCTTCCACCATAATGTGCAATAAAACCATGAACTTACGAAACTTGTAAGCTTATAAAACAAGGAAATATATAATAATTGTGATTCCGACGTCATTTCAAAAGAGGGGTCTATTAAGCAGAGAAAATTACGAGAAAGTATGGACATGAGAAACTGAAATATGTTACTTCTGAAGAGATCATCAGTGTTACCGAAATGCAAGGAAGACATTATAGTCGAACTGAAAGACATGGGCGTAAGCTACAGTTCTGAGCAACCTAAACAATACTGGGGCCTTAAGGCTAAATAATACTTCCGGATTACTACCATTGTAACGAGCGCCGCCATGACATTTCTCAGTACCCAAGAAAGCGCCAAGGTTAAGAAGGACATTAGTGTTACATCGTACTTTCGGGTTAATGTCTTTGTATTGAGCAACACACTCCTCAATACCTAAGAGACGCCAGGGTAAGAAAGTCTTTAGTGGTACATAGTACTTCCGGGTTACTGTCCTTGTATTAAACAACACATTTTCAACTTCCAATAAGACGCCAGAGTTAAGAAGTACTGGACTACAGTTCCCAGTGGAAAATTGCGGAATATTATTATAAAAGAACAGTATTACTACGGTGGAAGAGCTCTTTATTATATAAAACTTGTTCTGTGATATATAAACTAAAAATTTGAATCTAAACGAGAGCACGTCATATTGTGAAACACACGATTACACAATCTTCTCTTTATCATCTTTTTATTTGACACTGTTTATAATTAATACTTTCTAAACAAAGTACCCTGATAATTAGTACCTATGTAACCTGCGAAATAGACAACACACATAAGTCGTCAAAACGAAACTCTTCATTGTAAAACAGAAAATCAAGTTCAACGTTGTTTTATAAGGCCATCTGGGATATCTTCTACGTTCTACGACTACTTAACTACACTAGAATGTCTTACCTTCGAACAAGAAAGAGTAGTGTAAGCTCTAGACCAATAAAGACAATCGTAAATGCTCGCCTTAGCAATCATAGACCCTTAAATACAGGTGGTTGTACTAGTCACGTGAACTTGCAACTAGTCTTTTGCGGCCCCTCTATACTGCATGATTGGTTGAAGCATTCTTTCTCGTTAAGCGTAGCGGAATAAGTAACGTTTTACTACAATTAGGGTACCAGTCACATTAGTTAAACATCGGGGCAGAGTTTACATCTTTGTAGGTCAAGAATACCCATCGAAAGATCCGGGTGACTTTAGTTCTTTTACAGTTGTTTACAAGAACCTGAAGAGAGTTATGAAAAGAGTAAAATGTGTGGATATTTAACACATAGTTGTAATTTTTTACATCTAAATTTAATAACTCTTAATTTACTGATTTGGATATCAAGAAAAGCCAAATTACGATTTTTGTCCGTTTCGCAAGTAAAGCTGATGTTAACACCCCGACATTAATTTTACTTGCGAAACAGAAAGAAAAAAAGGTAAATTGCCTTTTCTTCATATCTAAATCAGCAGACTAGATAACCAGTTTACACCTGTTTATCATAAGAAAACATATACACCATACAAGCTTACACACTCGGTTCGACAGTTTGAATTGCTAGTTTATTGGAGAAGAGCAAGTAACTAAAGAAAATGGAAGTGAAACTCTTAATCGGAGGAATAGATGTTTCTCACTAATTTACCTCAGTAAGAAGTTTGAATTGGGAAAGAAAAGGAAAGCCATGAAGATGTTTTATTAGTATGTAGATTTTTCGAAATTTGGGATTGTATTTTCATTCGAATAGTCTATCGTTTCTCTGTTTAAATTACATTAAAATTTATGTATAAAACCTTTTTATTTTCAAGCAATCTAACAGACACTTCTGTTATTTTTTAAGTAAACAGCAAATTTCATGGAACTAATTAACAGAAATGAATATTATTTTGAAACTCGTAAGCTTTATTGTACCACGAAAACAATATAGCACTTTCAGCAACCACACTTTTCCCGTACCATATTTACAATCTCTGTCAGATAAAAACACCTTTATTTTGAAATTACAGAACATATACAAAAAAAAAGTAAGAAATTCCACATTGACTAATTTTTTATCTCTATACTCTGTATAAAATATCATCATTTACTAGGTAAACCCATCATTGTTAGGTTTCATGATACTACTAAAAGATCAAAGTTCCTCAGGTGTTGAACTTTAGTGAAAAAATCCAAACTTCTACGCTTATTTTCTGATTTATTAATACATTTTTAGTATCCTTTAATAATATTTTATGGGTGTGGCTCTATCATTTAATTTTATCTCATTCATTTTTTAAATTATTCAGTATCTAGAACCTCTTTCCTACCGACAAACAATAATTTAAATTGAGTTCATATAAAAAATTAAAATCCGTATCAGGTAGTTTTGAAATTGTTATATTTTTTCTCTTTTCCGTCAAATAATCAGGCTAATTTTTTTTAGTTAATGCCATATTTGTATTGAATAAAAATTTCTCTTTCCCAATACACTAGAGTTCCACCAATTATTTTCATGCCAATATTAAAACATAGTTTTAAAACAGTTGGCCGTTTAGCAAGTATATATTTCCAAGAATAAGAAAAATAATATTGTATGTTAGGGATAATTAAGTCCACAGATATACAAGAGGAACACCGCTGATCCCGTAGTCTTAAAGTCCACCATTGGTGACATAATAGTAACATTTTTTTAGCAGAGTATAGGAAACTTTGTTCATTGTCAAACCAAAGCGATTCTCGTGCAAAATAGAACCATTCTTCCCAGGTGGCAGTTAAAATTAATATGCGTGATCTTAATCTTCTATCGTAAATCTCGTCACCTATGAATAATCCTAATCTCGCGGAAAGTTCAATAAAGTATTTCCATTTTTGTAAAGCCTTTTTTAATTAATTACAAATATTTTTCGTCCCGCTTTACGTTATTAATATCGCAGGAAGACATGGCTGAATTATTAGACATTAAAAAGGCCAATTTACACTAGAATGAAGAATACGCCCTTAGCTTCACTAACCTATAAATGCATATTAAAATCTTTAAATGGAAATGCAACTTTCATTTTAAGCTTTTGATGTTAAGCTTTCCGAATAAAAAAGAAATATATATCACATATAGATGATTAGTGCCTGGAACTGTTATAAATATTTATGACTGGAGTTATCAGCAGACATATATCATAACAACAAGAGTGTATGCAAGCTTTATTAGACGATTATAAATCTGTATTTCTGCGAAAGAAAAAAAAAAGACTAAATATGTATGATTATTATATATTAAATGGGAGCCTAAAGTCGTTTTGACGACTTCACATTTCACTGGATATTCAACGTCTTAACAATTTCCCCAGGAATTATATGTATAAATCTAACATTCAAGATATGGACAGGTTGAAAAGGTTGACTAATTATTTGCTGTGTCTTTCAAAGAATGAATGAAGACTGTGTTAATTTATGTTAATAGTAGAAATCACGGCGAACTAGGTATATAGTCTCAGGTCCGCCTTAATGGAGGCCTATGTAACCAATCGGCTTTAATTTTTGTAAGTTGTAAAACTTTTTAATGTTGTTATGATACGTCGACCTAACTGTAAAGTAATTTATAAATTGTAAATGCTCTTTTGAAATAATTTAAATACAAATTTGATTTTTTGTTTAAATTCTGGAGAAAAAAAAATGCCCAATGGTTAGCGTGCCGGCCTGCGGAGTTGAGACACCATGGTTCTAGTCTGGTGCAGCCAAAAAAATAAATAAATAAAATCATGCTTCGCACATTGGAACCATGGATGTGTTATTAGTGACAATCATATTCCACTATTCAGCCTGACAAGTCTAATTTAAAATTTAGGAACAGTTAGCGCAGATAGCCCTCTAGTAGCTTTGCGCAAAATCATACAACACAGTCAAACCGACAAAAAACATAAAATTAAATAGTGATATTTGATATTTTTTACTCCAATATAAGGTGGAAAGTGCCATATTTTATTTTGTCGAAAATATTCAAGAAGGAAACGTGATCATAGGTCACTCCTGGTCTTTGTCATCTTTCACCTTGTAACCCAGTTAGTTACTGTATTAGTTTGATTTTTCTAGTTCAAATGAGAGACATACTAGCCCAAGAGTATGGCTAATCGCATCAAATGTATGCATGGATTTCCCAATGGCGTGGTTTATTAGGTTTTGTTTCGTAGGTTGTGATATAATAAAACGTTGTTACGTTAAAAATAAACTGATTTTTAACATTTTGTT